CATAGAAATACAAACTTTTCGCATCTTCTCTGACGTTTACCAATTCTTCTTAGCTTTTTGCTGTGAAGATTTTCACCTGAAAGAGCGGCGACGGCAGCAAGGATAGAACGACGAGGAAATTTTTATAATAAAGGTTGGGAGAAGGAGGATAGTAGGCAAAACTGATGCCTATTATCTAAGGTTCCTATTAAAGCTATAATTCATTTTACTGTTTTAAGGCATTTTTTCTTTTATTATTCAAAGGGTTTGTAATAGTAAAGTGATTTGTTGTAAGCATTTCATTTGACAGCGGAACGATACTTTGTCTACCGTTTTATCTTTGTGACTTAAGTGCATTTAAGAGATGGTTTACAGTATTGCATCTTTATTTTTGTTCTTGGTGACTATAGTAATAACCCTTTTGTTCTGGAAGGTCCCTAATTTTTTTACTTTGTTTTTTTCTGCTGCTCTTTTTTTTCTGGGCAGTGTATGATAAGACTTGTAGATAAGCTTGGCTGTTTACTGCATTCACATTAGTGGCAAATCAGAAAACAAAATTTGTTTTGCATTTTTTTTGTCGCACTCAGCATTGGTTTGGGGCGAAAAGACGTAATGGTGGAGGAAAAAGATTAGCTTTTGTTCACTGCTAGTAATTTCGAAATAATATAGTTTTTTTTAAAAAGGTAGCATGAATGTTTTATGTGCATTTCTAAAATTCTATATAGAGGGTTTGATACGCTTCAAAAACTTTTCTTTTGAGTTAAGAGTGTCAAAAACTTATCATTTCTGTTACGTTTTGACGTTTGTCAGAAAAATTCGGTACCTATTTCGACGTGGAAGTAAAGTGAAAATTTGCGGCGTAAATTTTTCCGTTCTTACTCTGTTTGAACCAAAAATTCGTTCAGTAATTCTACACTAGACTTAGTAATTCTAGACTCACGCAAAAAGCGTTGCAAAAGAGCTTGTATTCGGTAATGGTGCTCCTGCAGTTAACCAATGTACTTTCGTGAACGGCTCTTCTGAAAAGTTTGTGACTAGATTCGTGTCTGCCTTTAGAATACGTCATTAAATTTTCAAGCCTTCAGAAGTTCTTTAGAAGTTATCAATTTTACTATATGACTAAACGTTAAATTAAAAGTATTTCCGCTGCTTGTTTAGACAGGTGGTCATTAATGCTGCAGTTTACTACAGGCATAGTATCATTATAATTCACATTTTAATACAGGTGAATTACAGTTGCAGAGATGTTTCCACCAAATACAGGCTTCAAAAGTTTATTGTATGGCTTTAGCTTTAATTGAGATCGAAGACTGTTGTAAGTTTCCGCGTACAATCCTTTCAAGAGATGGAATTTGAAAATACACTTCCATTTTGAGAACTGATAGGAGTACTACAGTTTTTAGTGCTCCTACGTGGTAGCAGCGGCTGGCTTTCAGTCGGCCTTTCATTTGTTTCTAGTTACACATTATGGAACTATTTTTTACTGAATTCTCTCGCTGGGATTCTGACCTCTCTTTCAGAATGTTTGTAGTGTCTGGAATAAAAAAAGCTGTGAAGTAAAAGTAAAATAGGGTTGTTGAACAATTGTCATACGGTGCCGAAATTTAGTTGCTTCTTTTAAAGATACTTTATAAAAGATAATTGATTTATCAATAAAGACGTTTTGGTCGTATCACTAGTTCAGAAATTTGCGTTTTTTACCCTCGCGCAAAAAACAAAACTATTTTTCTGATAAAGGTGTCGTTAAAAATCATAAAATCTTTTATTTATATAAATCTTGGAATCGTTTCTTACATAGAGGCTGGTGATATGTATCGGTCGTTGGTAAAATATCGTTGCTCATGAACATATCGGAATGGCCTGTTCCATTCAGATGATGGTATAGTAGCTTTTGGTTCATAGTTTTGATCTGCTTTTACTGACGGCACCTTTTCATGATTATACTCAGGAAAGTACCATAAACCACTTGAGTTTTTTACTTTCATTTTGTTGTGTTGTAAATTTGACGTTTGAGGAATGTAGTTGGCTCTGTTTATCTTCCACTGATAGGAATCCTGATAATTTTCTGCTACACTTTTTTGTGGGACTCGAAGACCGGTTACACCGTCTGGCGTTTCCCACGGTACACCGAGCTGAAAACCGTCGACAGCGGCTGGGAGAGAATTGACCAAGCGGTTGCCCCAAGTTTTTTGTTCTATTGGTTGAACACTTGATGAACCTTTGTAGTGACCGTCTTCTGTTACTAGGAAACCTGGTCTTGCCGGGCGTCCAAACAACGGTTGAACTCCTGCGGGCGTTATCGGTTGAGGGAAAATATATTTCAACAAATTAAAATCCTCTTTTTCAGCATTAGATGTTGAAACGGGGTCGTAGGGCCTATTTTTCGTCTTATTGCTAGTTGTGGAGATTAAAAGGTCTTGATCTTTTGATTTTCTGCTGCTCAAATTTTCCAAAAATTGTGCGGCATCAGTCCATAATGATGGTTTTGGTGTCAGCAGGTCTGCATCTTCGTCAATTTCTGTGTTTTTTGAAAGATTCGGATTTCCATATCCCAGTTTCGGGAACTCTAGAAAAAATACAAAAAATATATCTCAAGACTTTTTGCTTAGCCAACAACTGCGATACATTTATCTTAATTTCTGCTCGACTACTGAACTGTATAATTGTTACCGGAGAGCGGGTAGATTGTCGTTTGTCGTTGTTTCCAAGGAACTTTTTTGAGCTTATCTCTGTCGATTGAACGAGCTTTATATCGTTCGTCCAAATTCAGATCATCATGAGCAAACTGTTTTTCTGTAATAAGGTTAATAGCTGGTAGTAAAGAAGCTTGCAAGCATTCTCCTTTTTCATAGTGTTTTTTTTTTCAAATTACTATTTGCATTAATACCTTCTAAGTGTATTGTCACAATTACAAATTTGCCATTGAAATTGAGTGTATAAATAAGAATAATAATTTGTTAGAGACTTTTAAAACATACATATTTAGGAAGTCCGTTGATGTTTTGGGTGTGATGATTACGAAATGTATGTAGCTCAAGAAGATTTTAGTATATTATGTTTGTTTTACAAGAGGGTTACACAATTTTCGTAATAGTATACTTTTTACATTCTTTGAAAATGTTTGCTGAAACACCGAAATTTAACATTCTCTAAGGAATGTTTGACTTTTCAAATATTTCTGTAATGGCGTTGAATCACCTGGTAGGGAAGAGGCAGTTGCGCATTTGGCAAAGTATGAGACTATAGTTGTTTTTTTTTCTTGGTTTTTCTGTTGGGTTAGCCACTTTGAAGATATGGCCCTGCACTATAAATGAAATTCAAAGGTCTGTCACAAAACTTCTCTGCATACTCACATACTCATTGGTGTACTTGTCGGTAGAACTTTGACGTCTGAGGCACTGAACTTCTCCTAGGAGCGTATGAGGCGTAGTCATTGCTCGAAAGTTGTTGAAGCAAGAGTGAAAGATCCTATTCGTGGCTCATTTGTGGAGTTTATATTGGGAATTTAAGGCATAGAGGTAAACCATAGTTTGCGAATAGAAAAAGTATTTTTTGTTACCAATTCTGAGCAGTTTTTGATGGGTTGGGTTTGAGAAGAACACTGCTGTGCAAGAAATCTCATAGTTCACTTTTGTGATCTTCTTTAG